GCGCAGAGCGCCCCCCCCCCCCCCGCCCAAAAAAGCCAAGAGCGCGCTGAGCCTCACCTGCGACCGAAGAGCTCTGGGCTGAAGCCCCGGCGGGTGCGGAGCGCCGCCTCAAAGGCGCTCCGCTGCGCCAGCGCCGGGATCTGCAGCGCCGTGCCGAAAGCCCGATGCAGGCCGACCTCTCGGAGGAAGCCGAGCTCCGAGGTGGTGCCAATCACCATCATCCGGTAGCCCTGGGCCCATACAACACGCACGTTTCGAAGCGCGAGAGTTCTTGGGCACATCTTTTCTTCAGAAAGCAAGGCATCAACTATCAGAGCTTGAGTCATAACTGAACAACTATACGTCCAACCTTCTCGGACTTCTTCTTCAGAAGGCCAAACAGCAGCTGCAGGATATTGTTGGAAAAGCGTTGGCCGATGCAGGCGTAGTCAATGAGCCGCTCGATATCGTCCAGCACGATCAGGGACAGCGGAGACTTGTGTGCATCCTCGAAGGTGCGCCTAATGGTCTGGAGCTTCATCTGCTCTGTCTCTCCAGCAAGGCTTTCCCCAGAAATGCGGCGGATGAAGGGGAAGTCGGACAGCTTCGCGACATGTGCCGACAGTGCCGACTTCCCACTCCCATGCATTCCATGGAGGAGCGTGGTCGAAAGCAGCGGGCCAGGACTCGAGCGGGTTTGGCAGACGTAACCCTCCAGCTTCTGCAACAGGTGTGTGAAAGCGGGCACAAAGGGAATGATGCCCTCTCTCGCCGCCGACTCCTCCAGCGAACCCGTGTCCTGCCCGAAGGCCGGCTGGACCTCCTGCAAGGCCAGCTGGAAGTCGGAGGCAGTCACCACGATGCTATCCAGATCCTTCGCGGAGTTCAGGTTGTGGACGTCCTGGCAGAAGCCATTGCACAGAGCCGCAGCTCCCCCCTGAAACGCGAATCCGAGGTGCAATGCGGAGAAAGCCGAGGTTCCACTTTCCGGCTCATGGAAGAAGCCACGGCTGCACGCACCAGGGCCTCCAACTCCGCACCGGAAAAGTTTCGTGTCCGGGTAGCCAGGTCCTCGCAGTCTCGCACTCGCAGGCTTTATTGTGAACATGACACCTCCGACCGTCTCTGCACATGACCTGACATGCCCCGTCCTGCAGGCACACGCCGGCGTCAAGGAACCGCCCCTTTTGCAGCTTGGCCGTGTGAATCCTCGGCATTTATTTCATCTGATCTGCGATTCCAGGTTGAGCTGAGTCGGTCTCCGTTAGAACCGAGGAGCTTGAGGATCTCGAGCCTACCGGCCTCGTCGGGAAGGCCGATCTCCACGTGAAGCTCCAGGCGTCCCGGACGGAGGAGCGCTGGGTCCAAGAGCTCTTTGCGGTTGGTCATCCCGATCAGGAGCACGTTATCTAGAGCCTCGACGCCATCAATCTTCGACAGAAACTGGTTCACGATGTTGTCCGAGACGCCGGTGCTGTCTCGGCTGGAGCCACGAGTTTTGCAGACAGAGTCCATCTCATCCAGCACGATGACATGAAGCTGTGCGTTCTCGCCGTTGGTGCGGTAGTCCTCCTCTGCCTCCGCGAAGAGCATGCGGACTTTACGCTCGGTCTCCCCGACCATCTTGTCGAGGAGCTCGGGTCCTGCCCGGTGCAAAACGAATTTCGTCCCGTCTTGGGCTTTTCTGGTGCGGGCAATGTGCATTCAAAAGAAAAGAATCGATATTCATTACGGAGGATTTCGTCGACTCTGCTTCCCAGTCTGAAGGTCGAAGGCCCGAGCCTTAACACGAGCCCGCAGCCTGAAGCCTCCGAACAACTGCAGTAGCACGGCCAACACTTCCTAAAAGATGTTGCAGGCCAACGCATTCACAAGCTCGACTGTTTCGGGCACTGGGAGGGGATTGCTTAAGCTGGACTATGTCCAGGTTTCCTGCCACGATCTTCGGCTCGACAGCCTTGAGGAACTTAGCAAGCTGGCGTGCGAGCAGCGTCTTTCCCGTTCCCGGAGGCCCGTAAAGCAGCATGCCCTTGACCTGCTTGATTCCCATTGCCCTGACCACTCTGGGTGGAAAGACCCGTGCTGCGAAGGCCCGGCGGAAAATGTCACCGAACTCACGGGACAGGCCACCGATCCCCAGCTCCTCGAAGGAGAAGTCGGGCTGGAAGATGGTCCTCTGTTGGCTGGAGTTGTTTAGAACCAAGAGCTTGCCGGATGCCTGAGGCGCTGCGGAAAAGCTCACCAAAGTCTGGTCACTCACTAGGCCCACGCTGCTGAGCTCGTGCTTGGCAGCCCCACTGCCAAAGTCTACAGGCTGGGCGCTTCGGATTTGCAGCTTCAGAAGTGTCCCCTTCACCTGCAGCGCCAAGAGCTGGCTGCAGGCCATTGCCTGGTTGGTGAAACTCTTCCGGAACTCCTCTTCAATGTCGGAATCCAAAATCTCGATCCTCCTTGCATCTGCTGGTGGAAGCCGTGGGAAGGAGACCTCGATGGAGCAGGAGGCCAAGAAGAACTCCGGTGGTACCTCAAACGGCTTCACCCGCACCTGCTTCTCGAGACCGACCCGTGCCAAGGTACGCTGGTAGTCGGAGAAAGCTATGCAATCCTCGGGCATGGCATGTTGCCCCAGCATGAAAACGCAGCGGTTGACCTCGACCAGCGGAGTTGAACTCGAATCTGCGATCAGCTTCTGGAAAGTGGTCGGAGCCACATACCTGCACGTGCTCTTAGCTGCTAGCTGCACAAGCACTGTCAAAATTGGCCGGCCACTGTCTGCAGAGAGGCTGCGCTCGATTCGTAACTGCCATAGAATGCCCGGGTAGTGGCATCTTCGTCCAGGTGAGTAGTAGTCCTGGCAGGTCAAAGCTTGTCTGGGTTCTGGGTGCTGCGTGGGGGGATGTGACAGTGCTCTCATTGCTCGGCATTAAGCTTCTTCCGATTGCCTGCACATTCACAGACTTTGTACAGCTCATTTGTAATTGAGAGATCTTGTCCTGCATCCATGGCGCACCGTGGGGCGGTGAGTCGCTGCTGAATCTGCGACTCGAAAAATTGCAAATCTGTCAGAGCTAGGCAGGGCTTGGGCCTGCACAAACGGCAGCAGGATGTCATCGGCTAAGTTGGTTTCCTACATTGGAATCTAGATCCCAAACAGCACCCAACAGAGATGCAAGCAATGTTCGTTAATCAAACAAGTGCTTCGTGTTGTGTTGGGGTTGCGAAGCAGCCTCCCCTGCTCGGCACAGTGAGGTACAGCCTGCATCTTTCCTAATTCGTGTCTAGCGGCCTGGCGCCTCTCCGTTATGAATAAAAAGAACAGTAATGGCAACAAGATTCACAACAAGACTAATCATAGTAGTAAAAACTAGACATAGTAATCATTGCGCCTCCGTTTCCCTTCACGGAAATGCAGAAAGCTCCGCACTTTGCGCCTCCAAGGTTCAACATCAGCGTCAGCAACAGCAGCACCCACCTGTACAATCTCGAGAAAGCACTTGCTAGTTTACAGCAAGCTCCATCTCAGGCAACTCAGCCCTCAAGCGCTTCGAGAAACACCATTTCCAGGTTTCTTCATAAGAACATGATGAAACCCTAAACCCTAAACTCCTGAGCATCTTGGGGGCCAAACTCGGGAGGCGGTTGCCATGTACCAGAACGTCGAGAGCAGACCATGCACGGGAGCAGCAGATTCACCGCAACCTCAACTCGCAAAGCGAACCATGAGAAAAAGCAGTGCAGCTGCATGGTAGCTGCATGCATAGCCTCAGATGCTGCCGCGCTTTCGACGAGGTACCACCAAAACATCTGCTTCTCCTCGCAAGACCGGAATGGAGCTCAGGTAAACAGCTGGGCATGCCACACTCCCTCGCTAAACGTGACATTAACGGGTGTGTTTCGAAACGCTCTGCAAGCATTGCGTTGGGACTGCTCATGGTTTGGCAGCTGCTGACATTGGTCACGCAGCGACTACATGGGCGAGTCCCGGCCGACTGTCCCCTGCTTCCTCCTTGGGAGGAACTCACAGAAAATCTTGGCGGGCTGGTGGCCGCTGTGCGGATCCCACCCGCAGTGCGTTTGCATAAATGTGGAGCTTCTGCTCCAACACGAGCGGGGTCCCGCTCGAAAAAGCATGTGCTGGGTTTGCAGCTATTCCAGATATGCCTAAAAATGTGATTTTCTTTCGATATTTGTTTACCCATATAATAACCTACTTACGACCTGCCTGACTACCTCATTACCCTCCTTACTTGCCGCCATACATGTAGACACACATGTCAGGGTCAGTGTACGTACATATGTCTACAGTAGCATACTATATACACGCATACACTGCAGCTCGTGCACAACCCAGCCAACGTCCACTCCGGATCTCCAACTATGTTCAGACTGGGTGTGACCTCAGCCCACCAAACCGTGCATCAAATGCACGGAACTCGTGGATCTGTGGGTCAATCACCGCCGGTCCCCCTTCATCCATAATGAACCTCCAGGTGGGGCCGCAAAGCCCAAAGCGCAGTATGTGCATGGCTCAACTCACTGTTCTGCACATTGGGGGCATTTCAAACTGCAAGCGAGATGCTTGAAGATCTTGAGCCGGTCTTCCTCGTCACCTGACGATCATCAGTACTACACTCCGTACGCATAGCTCCAAAGAGCTACAGTATAAGCCGCCTACAAAGCCCTGCTCCAGCATGACCAGATGCCATGGTTGTCCAAGGGGCTCGCTTTGATTTGGGTGCAAGTGGTTCTCGACTCCTCGGAAGATGAATGCAGCTCGCGCTTGCATCGATTGCTTGTATGGCAAGCTGTTTTGCAAACCACCGCAGGCTAATCCAATGCCTGTTGCAGCAGGGATGCTGAAAACTCGTTCGGACCTGTAACGAGAACCTTGTCTTTGTAGAAGCCGAATTTTTTGGCCTCAGTGGTTTTGCTGTTCTGAAGTTTCACACATCGTGGGCACTCCGCTTTCTGCGGCATCTCTCCCCTTCGCAGAATTGACTGCAGAAGCCGTCTTCCACGATACCATGCAAGCCAAGATGCGTAGATGTACTCTACAAGACACCAAGCACGGGTGTACAGATCTTCCATGCCTGAGACTGACGACGAGGAGTACGTGCTCCTTGACACCCCCACTGCCCCTACTTTATGTGCAAAAGCACCGAGTACTGCAGCAGCGCTGCGATTCCTGACAACCACGTAGCGCTCGGAGGCTGCAAGAGCTTTCACAAAGGGAGCCTGCGAGATGGATTGCCCCAGCGCTTCCTGGATGTCTTCCGGGACTCCTTGCTGTGACAACAGCAAAAAAGAGATCCCAGGCCAGGGGCCCGGAGGAAAAGCTGGGAAGCTTGTCAAAACCACTTCGCAGTACTTCGCAGTGTCTGAACTTCACAAAGAAACCGCTTTAAAAAAAGGGGATTCGAGAAGGCCTTGGAAGAGCGAGAATGCGCAAATGAAGAGGTGGGGCTTCACGACTCGGACGTCGTAGGCATGCCGCAAGGAGTCCATGAACTCGTGGAAGGGCTCCCTCCAGCAATGAGTGATAAAATCTTGCACAGGCAACCTTGGCAAATGCAGCAGGCCAAGGCTGAAAGAAGCGATACCTGCTCTGCCACTCTGCTCGTTAGTGCGTCTCAGGTGCACGTTCCAGCCTGGGTTGTGCAGTGCACGGGACATAAGCAAGAAAGCGAAGTCGTCCCGAGTTACCATACTGTCACAACCTACCCTTTCAGTGTGAAGATTGCCCGGTTCTGTTGAATCCAAGCAGTGAAGCTCATTTCGGGGTTGGCCAATAAAAACAATGCCACTAGGTTCTTGGATTTTGATGTGTTGCAGCAGCCGCTTATTTGTTTAAGCTTGAGAGAGGAAAGCTGGAGTCGCTTGGCCAGCCATGCGACCAAAACAAACTCAAGCGAAGAACAGCAGAACAAGATGTTGGCACGCCAAGGTCAGGGCACCTAGGATTTGCTCGTTCCTTTGCGCATGTTCTCCGCTAAGAAATGTAGGGCACCCTCAAGTCCGGAGAAGTTTATTTCTTTTTTTGGCGACGTAAACGGCAGCAACTAGCAAAGCCCAAGGCTTTTTTCAAGCCTCATGACAGGACAGCCACAGCAACACATGATCATGAAGGCCTATTTCTTTACACAAGCACGTGCGCGTCGAACTTAAGAAAACGATGGTGCCCTCACCTGAAATCAATGCTTCTCAGGCGGCGCTGTCTCGTTAGTACCATGCATGGCTATTTCGCTTTAATTTATACCTGATACATGCCCTCCTGTCTGGGGACATTTTCGGGACAGGCGAGGGGAGACCAACGCTGCAAGATCCTGAGCTACCAGGTATCAAGGACACAGGGATGACACGGGAGCTTGGAAGGTCTCAGAGCCGAAGGTACCGTTCCGGACCAATGCTATGGGCGCCCCGTGCTCTGCGCAGCTTGGCTTCACGATCTGCTGAACCACATGCCACCTGCAGCATCGGACGTCGCTGCCGTGATCATGACTCAGACCGACAGAGAAGACACAGCAATCTTACAGCGCCCAGAAATTGTGGCGAGGTGAGGCGAGGCACATGCTCTTTGAGATGTAGTCACTGCCAAACTGGTTTTTGGCATCCTGCTCGATGCTTTCCTTGCTAGGCCAGTAGCTCGCTGGCAAAGTGCTTGGAAAGCTTACATCCATGACAACTACAGCCGAGTGGCAAGTGCAGACCAGGAAATGCCCCACCTGACATGTGGACCCTGCTCTCAACATGTTTAATTACTTTCTGCAAGGCATGCGTGCTCTGAAAACAAGAGATGATTGCGAAAACCGGGAAACCCAAATGACAGCATGTATGGCTGGAGAAGAATACGAATGCAGGCGCGGCGCTGCGCAGGATCCCGCAGATACTTGTACAGTGCCGTGCGCTCGCTTGGTCCAAACTTGCGCTCGTGCCTGCAGCATTCCAGGGCAGCTGCCATACCGAATCCTATGCCGTCGCTGCACGTATCTGCACGTCCACATACGCCGCACCTCGCCAAGAAGGGCCAGGCACTCTTCAGCTGTCGCCACTGCGAGTCCACCAGCACGGTGGGTGGCTGCGTCATGTCGGCCTGCTCTACCGAAGCGGGAACTTAAATCGGCAAATCACGGCAGCATGGGCTGTGCAGCTCGACTGTAGCCGCTTAACTGCAAGACGATCGCTCCCTTGGGCAAAGTGCCACTGCTAGAGACATCTCGTGGGCTCCCCACCGAGAAGAAGGGGTCGAACTCCTCGGTGCGCAAGAGTCTCGTCGTCCCCCTGGGCCGAAATTTTGGAAGCCCTCGCCTCAGCACACGGCGGTGCCTCTGCGTAATTCTTGCTGCTGGGATGGCTCAGGGATGGGTCTTTTCAGTCGAGGATCGCTCGCGCCTGCTCTACCTCCGCCTTCTTTGCCCTCGTGGACTTGTCAATCCCAGAGAGCCAGACTTCGTATTTCAAGTCCTTCATGAAGTCCAAGCGCAGATGCTCCACAAGGTTGATGACGGAGTGCAGAATCAGCCAAGCCCCGGCCTGGTCTAAGTCGGGCTCTGATCGAGGCAGCCCCGAACATGCAATCCTTTGGCCCAGATGAACAGACTCTGAACACGTGCAGGCTCCAGCAGAGTAGACCCTGTCCCCCGGCAGTACTATACTATCTCGCTTGATTATGTATGCCTTCTTCCTATGACCCCTCTTTTCTGGGGCCAGGAGCCCGGCGCCTCTGCAGCAGAGAAGATGTCGACCTTGATGAGATCATGGTCCAGGTGCGCTTCGATCCCGAAGTCATGGCCCTCGAAGGTCATGTGAGCAAAAGACTCGTGAAGTACAGGCTCGGTGTTTTGGCTGCACTTCTGCACCGCGTAGCAGATCAGTCGCTTGAAGAGGTTGTCTGGGAGGAAGGAGGGAGCAAAGTCAAGCCAGAAATGCCTGTGTGCCACGCCGCACTTAGATCCAGTAGCGTCCCCATGCGGAAGCAGGCTTGGGACCAAGAAAGTATCTGGCCCAACCTCACACGCTAGTGCCACCTGCTCCATAAACCGGAGGAGGAAGGATTTGTGGGCAGGTTGCTCGTAACCATGCTCCCAAAGCCGATCCAGCAGCCGCTTTGAGACGACACCCTTGTACCGCCATGCGTCATATGCAGATTTCATTTCGAGCTTGATCTGCTTATGGTGCTCTTGCTCATGCAGGGTCCAGTCGAAAATGACCTGGCAGATGCCGCTCACAAGCCACTGCGGCTGCAGAATGACAATCTCCCGGAGTTCCATGGGAGATTGGAAATGAAAGAGGACTCCCAGCTCCTTCGTGCAGAAGGATGGAGCTGACATCGCCGCTATTCTCACAGACTCTCACGGTCTCCCGAGATACTAGGTAATACCAAGACAGTTACTAAGACACTACCCGGCCCTACCGGCCAACAGCACCAGCGGAAGTGAAAAGCCACAAGTTCATGAAAATAGGGGCCGGAATAATTAGAATAGGGTTTTTTGGGCTCCCTTGCAGTCTAGTACAGTCATAGTAAGGAACCCTGAGGCCCTAAGGAAT